TACACGGCCTCCATCGCGAAAAGTTGGCGGCTTCAAATTTGCATGTTCGTCGGCGTTTTAATTGGCGGGCGGGCGCGCCTGCCCTAAAATTGATATTTTGAATGGTTTGGGCTCCCAACTGGAGGCATGGTGATGTCAGAATTTGGTCGGGTTGTGTCGGGTATGTCGTCGATGGTCGTTTGCCCTCTTTTGGTCTCGAGTCGTTGGTTGTGGTCATTGCCGTTGTCTGCGTTGTCTGTGTTGTCGTCTGTGTTGTTGTTGTTGTTGCTTGTTGCTGGTGTTGTGGCCGTCGTCCTTGTCGTCGTCGTTTCTGTCGTTGTCGGCGCCCTACTCGCAGGCGGGCGCGTTCACTATGGATTTGGAATCCTGGATTGTTTCTGGTAATGGACCCGAGGCACGATGGTGTGAACGAATTGGGGCGGCTTGCGTCGTTGTCGTCGTCGTCGTCGATGGTCGTTTGTTTTCCGTGGGGCGCGACCCGTCGGTTGTCGACGTTGCGTTTGTTGTTGTGGTTGTCGGTTGTTCGCGTTGTCTTATTCGTCGTCGACGTCGCCACCCCCATCGACGCGTCGTCAGCTGTATTCGCGGACGGGCGCGTCTGCCCTAAAATTGACAGATCGGAGTGGTTTTGATTGTCAGCCCGAGGCACGGTGATGGCAAAATTCGGTCGGATTGCGCCGGGGTTGTCGTCGATGTTCGTGTGCCTCATTTTGGTCGCCAGTTGTCGGTTGTTCTTGTCGATTGCATTGTCGTCGTTGTCGTCGTTGTTGTTGTTGTTGTTGTTGTTGTTGTAGTTTCAGTCCATGTCGTCGTCGGCGTCACTGTCGTTGTCGGCGCTCTACTGACTCGTACTCGCGGACGGGCGCGTTCACCGTGGATGCGAAATCGCGGATTGGCTTCGGTAATGAATTTGAGGCGCGAGGGTTGGAGCAAATTGGGGCGGCTTGAGTCATCGTTGTCGTCGTCGGGGATGCTGTTTGTTATTCGGGGGGTCGCGTGCCGTCGGTTGCCGTCGGTGCTTTCGTTGTTGTCGTTGTCGTTTGTTCGCGCTGTCCTCGTCGTCGTCGACGTCGCCGTCGCCGTCGTCGCGTCATCGTTTTTTTTTTCTTGCGGACATGCGCGTCTGCCCTAAACTTGAAATCTCAGCGCGGCTTTGGTTTTCAACCCGAGGCGTGGGGGTGACAATAGGGCAGCTTTTCTTGTCGTTGGTGTGCGTGGTCGTTCGGTTCCTGTTGGTCGCCAGTCGTCGGGCGTCCTTGTCGCCGTCGTTGTCGTTGTTGTTGTCGTCGTCGTCCTTGTCGCCGTCGTTGTCGTCGTTGCTGACGCGATCGTCGCTGCGGGCGTCGGCGCCCGCGCGGGGGGGCGGGCTCGTCTGCTTTTTAAAATAAAGTCTCGGAGTGGTTTTGTTTTGTGTCTGGTGGCGTGGTGATGTTCAAATGAGGGGGCTTGCGTCGTCGTCGTCGTGCTTCGTCAAACGTCGTTCGTCCTTTTGTTGGCTCTGTTTGTCGGGCGTCCTTGTCGCCGTCGTTGCCACGGTTTCTCGATGTCCTTGTCGTCGTCGTCTTCGTCCTCGTCGCCGTCGTCGTCGTCGTCGTCGCCGCGTTCGGCGTCCGTGCTTGCTGACGGGCGCGTCTGTTTTAAAATGAAGTTTCGGCGTGGTTTTGGCAGTCAAGGTGAGCTATGGGAGAGGTTCGCAGTAGGGCGCCTCGCAGTGTCGTCGTCGCGGCGAAAGTACGTCGGCTTGCGAAGTCCATGAGTGGTTTTGCAAGTGCTTTGGCGCGTGGCCTCGTGAATGGATGTGAGGGGGGCGCGAAAGTGGGAGCGGCGTTGGGACAGAGGGGGTTGGAGGAAGAGAAAGGTGGCGAGGTGGCGACGGGGAACTGGATGGGAGGCGGAGAAAGAAAAGGAGGGGGGGAGGCGGCGTCGGCGTTTGAGAAGGAAGAGGAAACGGAGGAAGAGGGGGAGGAGGAGGACGACGAGCTCGTGGAGCAGGATCGCGGAGGAGAGGACGACGAGGATGGGCCGAGTGGGAAACAATGCCACGGCGAATACATAAATGGCCTCCATCGCGAAGGATCGGCGGTCTCAAGCTACGTTTTGATTGGCGGGCGGGCGCGCCTGCCCTAAAATTGAAATCTCGAGTGGTTTTGGCTTCCAGCTAGAGGCGTGGCGATGGCAAAATTAGGTCGGATTGCGTCGGGGTTGTCGTCGATGGTCGTTTGCCCTCTTTTGGTTTTGAGTCGTTGGTTGGTGTTGTTGCTGTTGTCTGCGTTGTCTGTGTTGCGGTTGTTGTTTTTGTTTGTTCTTGGTGTTGTAGCCGTCGTTCTTGTCGTCGTCTCTGTCCCTGTCGGCGCCCTACTCGCGGACGGGCGCGTTCGCTTTGGATTTGAAATCATGGGCTGTTTTTCGTAATGGACCCGGAGCGCGATGGTGTGAACGAATTGGGGCGGCTTGCGTCGTTGTCGTCGCCGTCGTCGTCGATGGTCGTGTTTTTTGCCGTGGGGCGCGACCCGTCGGTTGTCGACGTTGCGTTTGTTGTTGTGGTTGTCGGTTGTTCGCGTCGTCTTATTCGTCGCCGACGTCGCCACCCCCATCGACGCGTCGTCAGCTGTATTCGCGGACGGGCGCATCTGCCTTACAAATTGAAACATCGAAGCGGTTTTGGTGTCAGCCCGAGGCACGGTGATGGCAAAATTAGGTCGGATTGCACCGGGGTTGTCGTCGATGTTCGTTTGCTTTCTCTTGGTCGCCAGTCGTCGGTTATCCTCGTTGTCGTCGTTGTCGTTGTTTTTGCTGTAGCTTCCGTCCTTGTCGTCGTCGTCGTCGTCGCTGTCGTTGTCGGCGCTCCACTCGCGGGCGGGCTCGTTCGCCGCGGATGTGAAATCATGGATTGGCTTTGGTAATGAACTCGAGGCGCGAGGTTTGGACCTCTTTGGGGCGGCTTGCGACTTGCGTCGTCGTCGTCGTCGTCGTCGTCGTCGGGGGTGTTGTTTGTTATTCGGAGGTCGCGTGCCGTCGGTTGCCGTCGGCGCTTTCGTTGTTGTCGTTGTCGTTTGTTCGCGCTGTCCTCGTCGTCGTCGACGTCTCCGTCGCCGTCGTCGCGTCGTCGGCTGCGTTCGCAGACGGTCGCGTCTGCCCTGAAATTGAAATCTCAGCGCGGCTTTGGTTTTCAACCCAAGGCATGTGGATGGTCAGCGCGCGTGGTTTCGAAAGTGTTTTGTTGCGTGGTCGCGTGAATGGGTGCGAGGAGGTGGGCCGACGACCGAGGTGGAGGTGGGGGAGGTTAGATTGGGATTGGGGGGGAAGAGATGAGCAAATGGTGTTTTCGTGAGGGAGTGGTGGGAGTCGCGAGCGGTGGTCGCGAAGTCTGCGCGACGTTTGCTTATCTTCGTTTTGCGCTGGTCACCTCGGGATCTGCCGCTACTCCGGATCTTAGTGCGTCTCTGCCTCGGCGTTGGGCATTTGTTCATTCGTGATGTTTGCCGTTGCGCGACTCCCTGCCGCAAGCGAGGGATGCTTTGGAAGGACAACGTGTTCGCGTAGAGATCTGACGGCGTGGTTCTTCAGTCGACGGACCCCAGTGGCGTTGGGGAAATTCTTGCCAGGACGGTGTGTAGTTCCGTTGTGTTTTCGGGTGGTGCGCGGGTTTGTCGGAAGGTTCGGACTCGAGGGGTTGAGCATTCAGGGTTCCTGGTCTTCGCTTCTCTGCTTGTTTTGGGTTTCGCCTGCCGTCGGTTCTGGGTTTGATCCTGGAGGTTCTGGTCTTCGGATCCTGCTTCCCAGTTTCGGCTGGGCCGATTCCGGGTTTCGCCCTGTTCTGGGTTTTGGGTGTCGCCTTGAAAAATTCCGGGGGTCGCGCTCTGACCGTGAGAAGGATGGGGTGGAAGAGGAGGGGGAGGGAGAAAGGAGGCAGAGGCGGATGATGACGATGATGATGATGACGTTGATCGTGATTACGATGATGATGCTGATTATGATGCTGATGATGCCGCTGCTGATGATGATGATGCCGCTGCTGATGATGATGCTGCTGCTGATGATGATGCTGCTGCTGATGATGATGGCGCCGATGATGCAGATGCTACTGCTGATGATGACGACGATGATGATGGCGATGGTGGTGATCATGATGCTGATGCTGCGGGCGGTGATGATAATGTGGATGACGATGAGTATGGGGATGGCTGGTGATGCTGGTGATGATGAGGGTGCTGGTTGTGCTGATCATTATGATGCAGACTGATGATGACGATGGTGATGCTGATGATGAAGGTGATTATGCTGTTGATGACGATGATGATGATGATGATGATGATGCTGATGATGATGATGATGATGATGATGATGCGGATGACGATGACGACGATAATGATGCTGATGATGAAACTGATTATGATCATGACGGTGATGAGGGCGAGGACGAATACCAGGATGAGGAGGATATTGAGGATGACGAGGGAGGAGGAGAGAGGAGGCAGAGGTGGATGATGATGATGATGATGATGATGCTGCTGCGGATGATGGGGATGATGCTGATGATGCTGATGCTGATGCTGATGGTGCTGATGATGATGGTGATGGTGACAATGATGATGATGATGATGATGATGATGATGATGATGATGATGATGATGATGGTGATGATGATGATGATGCTGATGCTGATGCTGATGCTGATGCTGATGCTGATGCTGATGCTGCTGATGATGCTGATGATGATGATGGTGATGATGATGATGATGATGATGATGATGATGATGATGCTGATGCTGATGCTGATGCTGATGCTGCTGCTGCTGCTGATGATGATGATGATGATGATGATGATGAGGAGGAGGAGGAGGAGGAGGAGGAGGAGGAGGAGGAGGATGGGGATGAGGACGAGGAGGAGCAGGCGGAGGAGGATGATGAGGAGGAAGAGGACGGGCGAAGACGGGGCGGAGGGTGTGCGGAAAAACTAATTTGTACCGTCTCGCGCCGTCCCCGCCCTCTTGCCCCAGGACCTCGGCGCGGTCGCCGCAGACCCTGTGGAGGCGCTCTTTTCTTGGGGTGGCGAAAGCTCAGCTCGGCGGCGCCCCCAGGGGGAAGTGTGTGTGGGCGATCCCTTTCAGAATGCTCGGAAAGTCTCGGGCTCTTGGAGAAGTTTTTTAAGCCCCCGAATGCGCAGGAAGCTTCTCGGAAGGGGGGGGCTTCTGAGGAACCCCTCCGCTTTTTGAGAAGGCCTGCTCCTTCCGGCTTCCCCCCCAGGCGCGTCGCCGATCAATGGCTGGGCTGGAAGATGCACTGGGTACAGCCTTGCTGTCTTGCTGCTGCTGCACGATGGTTCGGCGCGGTCAGCTGGGCCGAGATAAGAATCTGCACCAACTTGCGAATCCCACCATTGCGGGTCAAATCGTCGCTGGGGTATCGGATGCCACCCGCTGGCGTTCACTTGGTTGCAGATATCCTTGAAACGCCGAGCTCCAGTTTTTTCTTCAGACATCTGACTTGCAGAGGTATTGTTCACACGTGGTCTCCCAAGAGAGAGGAATATCGGGTGTTGCCAAGAGGGTGTGCCCAATTCGACGCCGATGCATCCCTCGGCTGTTTCCATCACTTCTTAGATTCAAGTTGCCGCTAACAAAATACCAAGAGTGTCCGTGGCCCAGGGTGTCCCCAGGTTTTCCCGGGAAGGTCAGGTGGCCCCCAGATTTTTTTTCCACGCGGCCCGGAGCCCCACGGGGCGCCGAAGCAGCGGGAAACGCCAGGAACGCCTTGGGCTTGGTTTGGATCACTTCAGGCAGCACCCCGATGGAGAGGGTGGCGGGAGGGAGCGGGGGGGTAGCGGGAGTCGGTTGGTTCGGCGGAGCCGGAAGGTTGGAAAAAGAGAAGAGTAGCGGAAGGCGCCGCGCCATGTATTCTCCCCTTCTTCTTTGTCTTCCTTTTTCATAACTTCTCATACCTCTTCTTTTCTCCTCTTCCTCCTCCTCTTCCACCCCCGACGACGGCGGCGACTACGAAGATGTGGTGGGTGCGGAGCAGCCAGTTGTACCTTGGAGCCGCCAGGCGCTCAGGCAAGCCTTTGTGCGCACCGAGGCCCCCCTCCCCGCCCGCCGCGGGGCGCGGGATTGTTGGGGCGCCGCCGCGGGGCCCGCGATGGCGTCGACGGCGGCGAGGGCGGTGACGGCGACGGCGGTGGCGGCGAAGGCGATGACGGCGGCGCCGTTGCCGTCGCCGTTGCGAGAGCGAGACCGTGGCGTCTTTCACATAATCACATGCGTTGCAATACATATATACATATGCTTGCATGCATGCATGTATGTATGTATGCATATCTGCAAGTATGCTTGCATGTCTGTGTGTATACATGTCTGCATGCATGCATGTATGTCTGTCTGTCTGTCTGTCTGTTTGTTTGTATGTATGTATGTATGTATATCTGTATATATATAAAAAAATATGCGCTGTAATGCATTATAGTGCGATTCACAGTGCTGCACTGCAAATGAATGCAATGTCATGTAATGGATCTTAATGTATTGTGAGGTAATATGTTGCGCTGTATTACAGTGCAGTGTGTTGAATTGGATCATACCGTAGTGTAATGCGTTATTATGTGATGTGATGTAGTGTAGTATAATGTAATGTAATGCAGTGCAGTGCAATGCAATGTAATGCAATGTGATGTAATGCCATGTGCTCTAATGCAATGTGGTGTGTTATAATGTATGTAGCATTTGTATCATATGTGATGTATGAATTTTGTCGTGTTTGCATGCAGTGCATGTGTGTGTCCATATCTGTCTGTATGCATGCATACATGCATGCATGTATGTAGGTATGTATGCGTGCATGTATACATGTACACACATGTATGTGTGCATGCATGCATGCATGCATGCATGCATGCATGCATGTATGTATGTATGTATGTATGTATGTATGTGTGCATGTATGCGTGTGCACACATTAAAATGTCTCCAGACATGTATATAGGCACGTGTGCATCTACGAATTGATTAGTTCATTTTCCTTACAATGCGTAGATGTAAATATCGGAGGTGAGGGGATGAGGTCTCAGTTCAAAGGAGAGCCCCCCGCCAGGAAATCGGTTCTGGTTTTGTGTTTTGCGTGCGGGCGAGGCAGAGCTGCGTGCGCGGGCGGGAGGAATGAACCCTCCTCTGACTAGGGCGTCGCCGGGACAGAAGACCGCCACCCCTGGATTGTCCAGCGATGGCCGGGGGGGTCCCGCGGGTGTCCCGCCGGGTGCCCCGTCGGTGTCCCGTCGGTGTTCCGTCTGTGTCCCGTCGAAGTCCCGTCGGTGTCCCATCGGTGTCCCGTCGGTGCCCCGTCCGTTTCCCATAGTGAGATCGATAGTGAGACCGATCGCGAGATGGATAGTGAGATTCATAGTGAGATCAATGGTGAGATCGATAGTGAGACCGATAGTGAGATCGATCGTCAGATCGAGAGTGATGTCGATAGTGAGATCGATTGTGAGATCGATAGCGAGATCGATAGTGATATCGATAGCGAGATCGATTATGAGACCGATTGTGCGACATATAGAGACATCGATAGTGAGAGGGATAATGAAATCGATTGTGAGATCTCTCGTGCTATTCAGAGAGATATCGATCGTGAGATCAATAGTAAGATCGATCGTAAGGTCGATCGTGAGATTTATAGCGAGATCGATAGCGAGATCGATAGTGCGATCGATCGTGAGATTGATAGTATGATCGATAGTGAGGGTTAGTGAGATCGATCGTGAGATGGAAATGTGAAATTGATAGTCATAGCTATTGAGTGAGATCTATAGTGAGATCGAGATCGATAGTGATATGGATATTGAGAGCGATGGTGAGATCGATAGTGCGATCGATAGTGAGATCGACCGTGAGATCGAATGTGTGAATCGTTGGTCCCTCCCCCCCGAACCTCCTTATTACCGAAGGGTGGTCGTATCGGCATATATCCGTGAAGAGAGAGAGAGAGAGAGAGAGCTAGAGAAAGACAGAGAGAGAGAGAGAGAGAGAAAGAGAGAGAGAGAGATATAGAGAGAGGGAGTGATAATGAGATGATGCATGAGTAGCACGTAAGCAAGACGATGGAGAAGCGGCAAATTATGATGAGGGTGGATAATGCCGATGATAAGGATACTACTGATAATCATGATGCTGCTGCTGATGATGATGCCGATGACGATGCTAATAGTGATGCTAATAGTGATGCTGATGATGATGACGACGACGACGATTCTGCTGATGATCATGATGATGATGAGGAGGAGGCGGAGGAGGAGGATGAGGAGTAGGATGGAAGGGTAATAAGGACGCATGGGGAAGAGGAGCAGAAGGGAGAATAATGAGGAAGAGGGGGAGGAGGAGGAACATGAGAATTGATCGGGGAAGGATTGAGCAGGAGTTAGACAAAAGAGGGGGAAGATGGGGAGGAGCGATATGAGAGGAGGAAGAGAAACGATATGAGGGGCGAATGAGTGGTGAAGGGCTTGCGGGCTTGCGGGCTTCCCGACATAGTCGTTTGAGTTAAGGACGCTCGTGGTTGTGCCGCTCAGTGTTGCAAGAAGCATAGGCCATGGTAGTTGCAATCGCTGGGCTAACGCTGGAGCCTGCGGATCACTCGGATACCGTAGATGAGCCCCTCCAACCCACGAACATGTATATTGTTCACTTCTTAGCACCAAGCGAGAACAGCAGTCTGGAATAAAACCCCCAATCCACTACGCAGAACAAAGCGTGTGAGTAACGCCACCGCGAAGTCGAGGTGATACACCGACGCTATCACCCAGCTGCGCCGTCATGCAACTCACATAATTGAAACCACGGAGTAGACCGGGTACCACCGTTGCACTAAGCACGATGATCTGGAAAACTGTGAATCAATTTGCGAAAGCACACATTACCACAGTGCTGTAGCATAGCACGCATGATCCAATCTCATTGGAACAAATATCCACTGATGCACGGCTCAGAAAGACGGACGCTTGGCACGTCCCCATTCAAGCAGAAAGTGAAAAGCGGAGCACAAAGGCCACCACCAAAGGCACTGCTCAGAATACGGACGACCGGCACGTCCCCATCCCGCGAACCAAGAAAGCACCATGCAGTGACAGCAACAATATATCAAAGACTGCAGCCACTGTTCTTTGCCACCGCTGCCCCATTACAGCACTGAAACTGAGCACGCACCGAGGGGCCGCGTCTTGCTCCCACCTGCCTGCCTGCTGCCACCAAACTTTCTGCTCGCACGCACTGATCCCAGCATTGTAGCTGATACAGTCGGCTCCACGCCTACCCATCTGGCTCTGCAGCGAGAACCCGCTGCCTCTGATTGCCCTTCTCGCACGTGCTGGAGAAAGCGTTGTACCTGATGACGATCGGCACTAACTTCGGCTCCCAAATTCCGTTCATCCGCGTCAGAGCACCCCAATTTTTGCACACCATACGCGCATGCGCCGAGTCCAATACTGTCGGAGAGGATGACAGTATCCGATGCTCAACGAATGCGCAGCATCAACAGGAGACAAGAGCAAATATTGCAATGCATAACTCATTCTGGCAAACCTGACGTATTTTCATTTCGATCTAGCCAGCCCGATCGACTGCGCACCAGGCCCTGGTGACGAGTCGCTCCTCCGCGGTGAGAGGGGGAGCTTCGGCAGCGGTGTCAGCAGCGCCCATGCCACTGCTGGCGGGCACGCATTTGCCACCTTTACCGCCGCCACTTTTGCCGCCTCCACTGCGGTCACCAAAGAGCTTGACTTACTTGCCCGGGGACCGCGAAGAGGAAGACAATGCGGAGTCGTTCTTGAGTGCGCCACAATGCTTGCAGACGTAGTATCGACCTTCGTTCTTTCTGCACCCACGCCGTCAGATTGTCCAGCGCTGCGAGCGGCTGCCTGCAGGGGCGCCGGCAGCGCCGCCGTCGCGAGCGGCGCCCTGAAGGCCAGGTGCGAGAGGGGGCCAGACCTTCGAATCATCCCGCTTGGGCGGTCGCCCTGCACCGAGAAGGCCCCCTCCTCCATCTTGATGAGACGGCTGAAACCAACTGCGATGCCATGGCGCCCATGAGACACGAACTTTCCCGCAATCGCCTCTGCCCACCATGGCGCTGCGAGAGTCGCGGTCAGAACAGGGCTCCAGCAAGAACTCACGCCTGAAAGCGTGCGGGTTGAGCCCGCTAACTGAATGCAGAAGAAACCAAAGCCAATGAGGCACGCAACAGCTGTGCACCGTTCTGAAGATGAGCTGTTGCAAGCGCATGCTGAACGCCTGGGCCAGAACGTCGAGGAGGAGGAAGAAGAGGAGGCGGAGGAGGATGAGGAGGAAGAGGAGGAGGAGGAGGAAAAGGAGGAGGAGGAGGAGCAATACATCATAATAACAACGATACTAAGACGACAAATGGTAATAACTACTAATACAAAGAAGGCGAGTAAGACGACGAATAATATTGATGTGACAAAGAAGACGAACGAAGCAGACTATGCTCACGAATAGTAATAATAGTTGCAACAAGAAGAATAATAAGAGGTCGGAGAAGACAAACACGACAACTTTTATGAACACTAGCACTTATAATGCTGAGCATAATAATACTACGGGTGATACGCAACTGCTAATATTAACAACATGAAAACGACTAATACTATTCACAGTAAACAAGGCTTAGCATAAGAATGATGCAATCCTCATTAATAAGGATGATACTCGTAGTAATAAATAATACTTTGGTTATCTGTAATCAGAACAATACTACTACTAATATTCATAGCAATAAGAATACTGAATATACTACGGAAGCTAATGCGAGCAATAATAACATCAGCACAACGGCTAGGAGTAACGCCACCACAAATAATCAGACGACGGAGAAGAGTTATACTACTGTTATTATTAATAAGAATAGCAAAATAATACGAATATTATTGATATCAAAAAGAAGAACAAGGAGGAGGAGCAGGAGGAGGAACAGGACAACGAGGCGGATAGACACATGGGCACAATGATGCGACCGCGCCGCAGGAACAGTGGCTAAAGGCCGCCGCGAAGGACGCGCCGAAGGGGGGTATGGGGAAAGGAGGGACGGCGTGAGAGGCAAAAGGGGAGTGGGAGGGGGGGTGGAGCGGGGAAGGGGTAGAAAGGAAGTGGGTGATGGCGGGGGCAACTGTGGGAGGAGGGGTGAGAGAGGGGGATGGGATGGGGGGGGCGAGGGGAAGGGGGGGAGGAGTGGGGATAGGGTCAAGTTAACCAATTCGAACGAGCCAGAGGGCTCCGTCCATTCCCGCCCGCCCTCCCACAACATAAGAAGCAAGTGCGTCGCGTCCGACGCCTGTCGGTCATCTTATACCGTGGGCGGCTAGACGTTCAGCGTGCGACGTGAGCCGCGTCCTACCCCTGCCGCGTAGTGAGCAACGTCGACGAGAAACAAGACCCCGCGCGATGTACGCCGCGCCCCGCTCCTGCCTCTCATGTTGCATCGTCGGCGACAACATGTCCAGCGCGCGGAGTGCGTCGCGTCTCATTCCAGC